TGGTTGAATAGGGATTTAAACTTCGGGTTTTCCTGGAAGACCTGCGCTGCAGTAGGCCTTTACCCTTAGGAAAGGTAACGCTCAACCGCGTCAGCTTCCATGTTGGGAAGGCTATACAAAGTCACAACCGTCATTTCCTGGCTAAACAATTGCCCTTCCAAGGCTTCCTCATTGTATTCTTCTGGCATATTGATGGTGAAAACTTCGTCACTTAAGCTTGAGGCAAAATTCATAAGATTTGCATCCTCATTTCCCCATCATTCAACTTGAGGCCACGAAGTATCATAGCTCTGTGGCTTTGATTTTTTGCACCAGTAAGCCTTCTCCATGTTCTAGGAAAGTTCCCAAATGGCTTCCGATGGCTTGGGGTTGTTGATCCAAAGGTGGTAGTCATCATCATCTCTGGAGCATGTGATGACGGCTGTCATCTCATTCCCTAGACGCTTCGGCAAAGGGTCAATGTCTATGGCTTGCGTCTTGCAAGGCAGCTCTAGCGTTCCTTCAGGGATTTTTGCATAGATAATTTTTCACAAAGTTTGGCATACAATAAAGGGATATCCCACATACTGATGGTAGCGAAAATACTTGGGATCCTTCATATCTTCCTTGGAAGAGGTTTTTTTATGGACGAGCAGCTTGATGGCCCCATTTGCGAGCATGGTATCGAGGATGGCTTGGAATTCCTCATCGTTGCATGCTAGTGGAGGATAGGTTTCCCTATCACTCTCCCTTTCCATCTTTTTCTATGGGTTGTAGTCAGATCTGTCATCCACAGCTAGAGCATGATGAGCTTCTTTCTTGTTAGTTTTCTAGGATCTCCTCATGGAAGGCTTGATTGACAAGATGGTCTTCCTTAATGCTTCTAAGAGCCTCGAGAATTGGCTGATACCGATATTCTCCAAATACACCCTGTAGTCAGCTATAATGTTGTTGATGCATATCTCTATAAGAGCTTCCTTGTCCTTCTCGTCATAGTAGTCAAGGGCGAGGTCTTGGAAACGTTTACCAAAAGTCACCACATCTTCCCCATGCCTTTGACACGTATTGTTGAGCTGAGTTGTTATGACCCTTTCCTCATACTAAAAGTACTTTGTACAGAACTTGCCTACCAGCTCTTCCCAAGTCTAGATGAAACCTGGTGTGAGGGTGGTGTACCAAGTATAAGCACAATCAGTTAGGCTTTTCAAGAACTCCCTGAGACGTAGGTTGCAATTATGAAGACCCAAAGCGTTAATGAAATGGCTGATATGTTCCTTAGAGCTCATATCCTTTAGGATAAGGCATGTGGAAAATGCTTGTTGGATATGGTGGCTCAGGAACATATTTCCAGTCATCAAAGCTCCTATACAGCTCATTTTTTAGCAGGGCTATGACATCTACTTGAGTGATAAAGGATAGTGTTTTCTCAGGACCTTTGCCAGCAGCAGCAGCTGATTCCTCTTGAGAAGCCTTTTTCCTGGGCATGCAGTCCTTGTCACTGGCCTTTTCACTTGGCTTCGGGATTCAATTTTTCAACTCTTTCCATGACACAACAAGTTCTTTTTGGGCTTCACCCAAGGCATGAATGGCTGCGATGATGTCCAACATGTCATATTCGTCCAAGTTTTCCGGTCTTTCTTGGCGTTGGCCTTCATGTTGAGACTCGTTAAGTCGGGAAGCAGCTTCGCCTGCGTCTGAGGCATTACCACTCCTGGTAGTGTTCCTTCTGGATCTTAAAACCATTGAATGAAGATTGCGACCTGTCCCCAGCAGAGTCTCCAATTTATATGGGGGACTTTTAGGTCGAGGTGGACTTGGGCTTTGAGAATGTCCTTTTGTCTCCCTTAGTGCGGGTTCGCAACAAGTCTCGGGATATCTCGAAAGAGATAGCTTGTCTCAGGAAATGCCCCTGTAACATCAACAGCTCGGAGATAGCATGAAAGATCAAGATAATGACTTGCTCAAGTGAAGCGTGGTGTGGAAACTAGAAGATTTACATGAGAAAGAAGGTTCGCATGGTTGTATGGCATTCTTAGCTATATGATTTGGGCTTTTTTAAGGTGATAGTAAGGCTTCTAACGATTGAGATGTTTGATGGAAGGCTGTAGGAATTACTAAGGTTGCATAGAAGGTGATGCTTGAGGCTTGGAGTATACTTCTGGACTAAATGGAACTCTATGGGCTTCTTCCTGGGTGGTCCCCTCTCACCATGTTTTCTCTATCTCTCATTTTATGTTTTTCTAAATCCCTCTAAGGGCTTCTCCTAGTCCTTATGTAAATGAAGGGTTCCTTTCTAGAGGGTTCAAGGAATATCCCTTTGTAGCTTGGTCTTACCTTCCTTTCTCCCTAACTCTCTTATTATTCCCATTTTGGTGTAAACTAGCTACACTGTTGAGACATGCAGATCGCTTCTTCCTGAGACGCAGCTTCCCCAAGGCGGCCTTCCATAGACGCTAATTATGGTAGCGTGCCTCGTGGCTTTTGCGTGTTGGCTGTATGTGCAAGCTGGGAAGGGAAAGTTAGCATTAAATGCTTGACTTGTTAGGCTTAACATGCATTTAATGCAAGAATCTGGTTTAATTCTAACTAAGGGAGTTCGCCTACTAAGGAAAGGGATAAACTAGGCTAGTTCTCTCTCAATGTTGCCCACGTGAAATGCAAAAGGTATGAGCTTGGATCTTTGAGCTCCCAAGCATCCCAAAGTCTTCCATAGGACTGGTTCAGTATGGGATTCCAAACCAAAAAATGAGATCTTGAATCCCAAACCGAACATTTTTAGGATGAGAATCCGAAGACCGATCCCAAACTGAAATTTCAATATTCTCAAATTTCGGGATTCCCGAAATATTTTGGTGATTTTGGTACGGTTTCGGGATTTCAATTCAATAGGAATTTCCCTTCTTGTTAATGGAAGGCCCTGATTAATTCAATTCAAACCTATAGATATTGAACATACAAATCTAGAATTAAAATAGGAGAAATTGACCAAGCAAATCCATAAATCCAACCAACAATCCACATAAAATTAATCAAAAAACCAAGAGAAAATTAATCTAGAAATCCAAATCTAGAAATAATCAAAAGCCCTAAAATGGTAAATCCCTAATTCAGCATGCATCCTAAATATAAAATTAATCCCCAATTTGTAAATCCTCATTCGAAACCTCATTCAGAGAGAGCTTCATAAAGGATAGAGAAGGAAATGGATCAAGGCCAGAGACGAGAGAGCTTCGAAAGTTTGAGAGAGAGAGCTTCTTACAAAATGAGGCTCTCGGCTATAGCTCCTTCGTATCTCTGCTTCCCAACACGAAGACTGCTTCTCTTTGCCTCAAGAATCAAAACCAAAACAAAAGTTTTGTGTTTTTCTCCCAAACCGACAAGGCATCCCCATCACATGCCTTTTTCCTTTTTATTTTATTTTTGTACCTCAAAAGGCTCCTGCTTTTTATTCTTTGTTCTTTGGTAGCGCTAGGAAGTAGGAACCAAAAGCAAAAGGAAAAGAAGATTTCAGGATTTCAAGATTACCGAACAAATGAAATCTAGAAACCAATCCCATACAGAATATCTCGGTATTTTTCGGTACAAGATTACCAAACTTTGAGATAGTTTCGGTTTTGGGATTTTTTTTGGTTTGGTTTGGAATTTTTGGGAATTTTTTCCAACCCTAGTCTTCCATGACCCCAATTTCACGTAGGCCCGATAACTTTCCGTAACCATCCACACCACAATCCACTTGGCAAGTCCCGAATATGTGACTTGGGCTTAGCATGAATTGTGGCTAAGGAAGCATGGCGTGATGAATAGGCTTGAACATGGCGTGAATATCCGGCTTAATCACCGTGCCATGGCATGCTTGTAAATATATTCCTCGTTGATCTCGTGCCTTGGCATGTACTTGGGCTGGAATGTAGACTTTGCATGACAATTGGGCCTTAGGACTTGGTTGGATTGGTGTGTGACTTTTTTGGGCCCTAACACTGAATTATAAATTACTGCTACCATTTTGATGTTACAAAAAATAAAGGGTAAATTACACAAAACCACCTCAACTATAGGTCACACCACAATCTCTTACCTTATGTTTTAAACATTGTAATGTCATACCTCACTTTTTTTTGGGTTGTTCTGAACATAAGAACAATTGTTTTATCTGGTTCATGTTCATCGTCGGCTGGTGAACAACGGAAGTTTTCTTGCCGGCAACTTTAGGTCCAAAGACCACGAAGGTCATGTTCATCTGGGTCGTAGCAAAAGCAATTATGGACGATGTCTTGACAGGGGCTTGTGGGAGAAATTGTGAACGACAACGTGGCTGCTGATTTTTGAAGAAAAATGTGAGGCTGCAGCTAAGTCGTTGATTCCGAGGCTTCGTGGGGCGTCAGGAAGAGGAGGGGTGTCGAAAGAGGTGCAGGCGCGGCTGTGGTTTTGGTTGTGATGAAAGGAAAACGGGTGGATGTAAGGGTAGGCACGGGTCGGGCTGGGCCCAATTTTAAAGGAACCGGACCCTACCCGCTTTAAACTATAACGACACAGGTCGGGCTGGGCCCAATTTTAAAGGAACCGGACCCTACTTGACCCATTTCAAACGGGCTGGTTTTGGGAGGTTCCACAGGTCTAACTTTATTTTTTTTCAAAAATACATTTTTATCAAATGGAGCTGCAGTTGCTGCACTGCAGTGCACAATAACAGCACAGATTACACTTACACTTATAGGAGCATTGAAGGCTTGAAGTAGAGATTGTGCACAATAGCACATATTACTATAATCTCAAACCCGTTTGCCCACCCCTAGGTGGATGGATGGGGAAGAAAGAATGGAGGGCTTGGTTAGGGTGGGCCCCACTCCTCTTATTTAATTTTTTGACAAAAATTACTTTTTAAAAATTAATTTATTTTTATAATTTTATTTTTTTCATCTACATGGCCTTCCATGTCAAAAAAAATATAAACCTTATATTTGCCACATCATCACTTAATGTCCAATTTAACGGATTAATTAATGGAGGTCTAGCATTGCAACGATTTCATAAGTTGAGGTATGACATTACAATGTTTAAAACATAACGTATAAGATTGTGCTGCCATCTATAGTTGAGATAGTTTTTTGTAATTTACTCAAAAATAAAATATACATAAAACGAAAATTGCTCCTCTTCCACTTCTGGAAATTAAACGTAAGAACTCAAAAATATAGGTTACCCCGTCCAACCGTCAGCCCAGTGAGGCCAAGGTGGATAATCATGCTATTCAACCAAGGTTCAGAGGCGATTCAAATTCATGTATGCCCAAGTTGTCAACCACTGCCTAAAACTTCAGAAATACTAGCAATTACATGTCCCTTGTGACCCTTTTCAACACGCGACATTCGAGTATATAAGTTTCAAGCTTCAATGGTATACATATGATCTGTTTATCTGGTTTGTCTAAAAATTTTCAATGTTAGGCCTGTGTTCTACAACTCTGTGTTGCATTTTAGTTAGCGGCCGCAGATCTGCAGCTTAGAAATAAACTCCGGAAAAGCCCGAACAGGTAAAAAATGGTCGTCCCCTGCAAAAACGAAGAATATATGAGTTATATACGTTGGCTAATAAAAACGTAAGTGAATAAATACAACATAGATCAGCATCTCATGAATATTGGACCACGGAACCAATTCTTGCGTAACTGAAGGTTGACATTCAACGGAAAACACAGTTATACTGTACATAGGTCCATATGAGATAGGTATAGCTAATCCAAAATAGTAAAAATTCAGTTTGATAACTCCACTCTTTCAACAGGTAAAAATATGAAGTGCAGATGTTAGGTATAGAAGTTACCTGCTTTTATAGAGTTCAAGGCAACCTTTTATCCAATTCTTGCCTGTAAAGTGCTAAACTCTGCATGCAAAAAGTATAGCAAGCAGCAAAATAAAACATCTAGGAACGATGACTAGAGAAAGAGAAAAATTGGACTACTAGGATTAAGCAACAAAATAACAGATAAGTGCATAGAGAAAAACAGAAAGGAACAAAAAAATATAAAAGAGTATTTTTCCACGTTCATCACCCTCGTAGATTGACCCATAAAAGACCTATTTTTTATATCTAACTACCAGAGTTAAGGGAATATGGTTTCATGTGCCAACTAAATATAGATCAGAGTATTTGAGGCAATTTTATTTCAAATGAATTATTATCTTGCTCTCCCAACAAGGGACGGGTCCATTGGTATTCCTCCTCACTCGTAAGTGAGAGGTCTTAGGTTCGATTCTCACCAACTGTGAATTTGAACCACGTTATTGCTAGCACATTGTAAGGCTAAGCCCATTTCCCTCCCCTTTTGTGTAGATAATATCGTTTGTTCAAAAAAAAAAAAAACCAAGGAATGGGTCCAAGATTTAAAAATAAGGTGGGCCCAATTTTCCTCAGCTGAACTAAATTTTTTTATATAGACTAAATTCATTAGCCAAAACAAAACTTAACCTAATAAAAGCCTAAAATTAGGTATTGACTGAAAAATATCTAAATTAGAGTTTTTTTTCCTTTTTATAGGAAAACTAATGAAAAGGTCTTGAAAACTTGAGTTTTAACGATAAAGACAAAATAAAGGGTAAGATGAATAGTACCAGGATAAACTATCGAAATTAGAGTTTAGAAACAAAATTATAAACCAAATTAGAAGAAGAATAATCGTAGAAGACAAATTGGAGTATTAAGAAGAAGGATACGATCAATGCTGAAAAAGAAACAAGTTAATCATAGAGAATGGACAGTGAACTATCGAGACTAATCCCAATGAATAGGCTAAGTTCTTTTCTTTTGGGTTTGAAGAAGTATGTGCAAGTGGGATGGTTGGATAGATATGAGTTGGGTTGGCTGGAACTAACCTAGCTTTATTTCTAATTCTTAGAACTAGGATGGGCTATAGCCACCTCAGACTCCCTGGATCCATCCCAAACTCATAAAAAACCAATATCATTGATTATTCGCCTTATAGTCTTAGGGAAATGACCTCTGCAATCCATTTTTCCCCTCCTGCACACCCGTCCATTTTTCTAGCCATTCGGTTGAATAAATCAAAGGAGGAGCAAGGGCCAAAATTAAGAGGGATGTGCATAAAGTAAAAAGAGAGTGCACAGATCACTTCCCATACTCTCAATGACAACAAATTCTGAAGGACATGTGAGACCCTTTACTGCCTTGGCTAAACAGCATTGAGCCATGTTGTTCAAATATCATGACAAGACTAAAGTAACATATTAATTTAAAGCAACTTCGTGAAATTGTAAACATGAAAACTATATGCCTCTTTTTTTCAGGAATGAGCACAATTGAAATAGGCACAGTATAGTAGAGGAAGGAAACAGGTTGGGGACATGAGCATTTGTGCAGCTCTAGGGGGAATTCATGAACACAAAGAGAACCCAACTAGGCACAACTCATTTAATACTATTAAAGATAAAGAAAAATATCATAATCAAATTCAATTGGTCGCAGCTTAAGCCAATGACTCTTATAACCAGAGGAAAAACTAGTGTGAATTTTCAATTAGTTTTAAGAATATGTTGCCTATAAAAGTTTCAAATTTTGAATTGAAACCAGCGTTGATACTTTAGCCCTTTCAAGTAAAGCTTAACCCTGGTTCTTTTGATAAAATAGCCTAAACCCTAAATGTTTCAAAATATATAGTCTGAACAGTCTCCAAACCTCTGATTGTTCGGGATTGTTTGAATGAACACACTACTCCAATTCCTCGAAGGCCCCTAATAATTGAAATGAATTTGAGGGTAATTGAAAACCACACACAGCAAGATGCAATGTTTCAAGATTGCAACAACCTAGAAGAGCAGAGAGTCCATACCTTAGTATGTGCATACACACCAGGTTCTGTAGGTCCAACTGGACTTCCCCTCCTCATAAACTCTCCCTCCTTATAGATATAGAGCAGTGGTACTCCGGTTGATAACTCTAACCTAATAACCTGATTGACATGAAATACTGAAGATTATTTTTACTAATAGAAAATACTCATAGGTGGTACGAAATTTTGAAGGTACGGTTGTTACCTCTTGAGAAGTTAGTCTCTCGAGATACATAATAATAGACCTCAATGAATTTCCGTGGGCAGCAACCAGAACGTTCTTTCCAGATTGTAGTTGTGGTTCAATCTGCAATGTAATCTTTTCTCTTCAGGTACTTACACATCAACATGAGTTGAACCTCTAGAACATACACCCAGCTTTTAATGGGAAATGTATGTTAATATCAAATACTAGAACTTATCTGCTAACCTGTTCTCTAAAATAGGCTACAGCTCTTTGAGAACACATTTCCAAACTCTCACCACTGGGAGGAGGAATATCATAACTCCGACGCCACTCATGCACTTTCTCTTTTCCATATCTCTCAGATGTCTCCAGCTTATTAAGACCTTGTAATTCACCATACCTGTAGAATACAACAGCTGGTAATGCTAGCTACTCAATTTCTGTTAAATCTAAGATGATTACAAGTTAAAGAAAAAGCAAATAAGAACGTACATTCTTTCGTTTAATTGCCAAGCAGTTATAACTGGAATTGATTGCTTTTTAGTATCTCCACTGTAAATTTGACTCCATGTTTCCGCCTGTCTACTCTCGTTATGCACAATGATTGGCACCTGAAAAGCATAACAAAAATGTTTATGTGAAATCGATATTCAAGTAATGATTAATGTATTTCTCTAAAAAAAGTCTAATTAATAAGTCAACCATAAAGTTAGAATATCTAGATATTAAATGGTAAGGTCAAAATCAGCTTGCTTTCTCTCTCCTTCGGACCTGTCTTGTAACGCTGTTTAACAATATTGTGTTGCAATCACAAGTACAGTCAACCTGCTAGATGCTAATCATGGTAACAAGGCCTGTGAGTGCTGCAAAGACTTTTGAACTTCCCCCGATGGTTTGTTTTGTTGTTAAAACCTTAACGATTAATATTGTGAAAAGTATAAATTAATGAGTGAAGGAACCAGAACAAAAAGAACCACCATTTTCCAGAATGTGCATTATATTGGTTTTTTTATGATCTACACCAAACAGGCAACAGAGGGTTCTAAAAGTCCCTGAGTGGTTGATAAAAGTATGAAACAAGAACATTTGGGTGGATATCTCTAACAACTTCAACCAAAAGTCCGGATACAAAATATAATTGGACATTTCTTCATATGAACGTCAAAATCTTAAAGATCTTGTTGAAAAGGTTCAACTACATTTTCCATTCTCAAAATCAACAGTTGACTTTGTTCTATACATAAACGTGATAAATCAGTGGATGGAGAATTCACATTATCTCTGAAATTAAATTGGAGGAGCAATGATGCATTGCTTTGGCTTAGGTGGAAAGTTATGGGTAGGTTCTAAGTCAAAATCCTTGCCATAAATATGAAATTCCTAGACCGCTCACATATTGATGCTTCACACCCTCCACATGTGTTGCTGATAAATGAACCAATAATGTACTTAACAAATTACTACATTTATAGTAACGATTCAGTATTTCAAAAGTAAAATTTGTGCAAAAAAAAATCTCAAAACTTGAGCAAGATACCTTCTTCCGGCGGTGTTGAGTCATGGCAAGCATAGCCGTCATCTGTGCACGAATTAGCGAAGATGTGTAAATCATATCTACAGGGATGTTGCTAATTCTCTTACCAGCTTCTATTGCTTCATCAACACCTCTCTTGGTTAAAGGCACATCAACACAACCGGTGAACAAGTTCTTCTCATTCCACAAAGATTCGCCATGACGAATTAAGACCAAAGAACTTTCACCTACAAAGAAGAGTATAGACAAAACAATTAGCAGAGGACTCGCTGATTCACAAACGAATAATTAGTGTATTGACAAAGAAATGAACACACTTGATATCTTTTGAGCATTGTTGGCAATACCTTGCGAGGTAGACAAAATTGGATCAGTTGTCGAAGCTTGGGAAGACGATGAACAAACTACGTGCAGCTTACACTGTCTAGAGCTACAATGTTCTTTTCTAAGCAGGCGAACATCGACCTCAAAATTTTTAGAGATAAATCTGAAAGATGACTGCCTACAATTTCTGGCAGAGCCAGTCTCACCAACTGAACAATGGAGGTGAAAAATTCCAACAGGATGGCGAAAAGCTGTCGCAACCATTCTGCTAACATCCAAAGAAAAACCCAAAATCAAAACCAAAGTTAAAAAGGACGTCGAAAACCACATTGAAACAACAATTTCATTCCCTTTTGACAATGCAGAGTTACTAAAAGTAAGAGAATGGAATCTAATTCCACCATCAAGCTGATACCCAATAATCATCATTCAATCGGGTCTTTATATAAAATTTCCCAAAGTTGAAATCACTGAAAAAAAAAAGCATCGAATTCATGAAAATAAAAGCTGCAGAGTTTAGATTTAACGACACAGGACACAAGTCAGCTCGAATGAAGAAAAAACCCAGATCGAAGTTTCATTCCGAATACGAGTTAATATACCTTCTCAATAAAAAAAAAAAGGCCACAAGAAAAGAAGGAAATACAGAAAAAAAAAAATGAAGGATCATGCTTTGGAACAGTCAAGAAGTTAAAGAAGAAAGAAACAGGAAAAGTTACTCACATGAATAGAAGATGGGTCTGTGGGGAATCTGCGAGTGGACTCGATCTGCAAAGATTTGGAGGGAACGATGCCTTAAGAGAGAGAGAAAGAGAGAGAGAGAGAGAGAGAGAGAGAGAGAGAGAGAGAGAGAGAGATGGAGAGAGATGGAGAGAGATATGGAGGTTTTTACAAATTAGCGGGGGAAGTGGGGAAGGGGAAACACAGAATAAGAAAGAGGTGGCGAATTTCTTGTTCACTTTTCCCACGGCAAAAACTAACATTTCACCAACCCCACCTTAACGACGCCGTAGAATCCTTTGAAAAAATCTAAGAAAACTAATGAAAGGGTTTGAAAATTTTGAGTTTTAACGAGGACAAAATAAAAGATAAAGTGAATAGTATCATAATTGACTTTTTAGTATAAAAATATGATTTTTTGTTAAAGTTCTCTTGAATCTAATCAAAGGGAAATGATTTTTACACACAAAAACTTATGTTTTCTTTGGAAAGCCGATTTGTATAAATAAAAAAAAAAATCACCTGATAAAAATAAATAAAAAATGTGTGGAAGGATAAAAAAGACACAAGTGATACAATTGTGTCTTTTTGTGCATTTAATGTGTTTTTTGTCACATAGTATTAGGTCTATAGTGGTATTCGTGATCAATTATAAGTAGGGGTAGGCTAGAAAAATTGAAAACCAAAAAAGTCGGACCAAATACCGGATCGAAACAAAAAAAATAAAAAAAAGTAACTGAAAACCGAATTGGTTTGATTTCGGTTTTGGTGTTTCAAAAACCAAACTGAATCGAATAATATAAATTAATATTTTATTTATTTAACAAGCTTCAAATGGCTTCACAAATGAAGGAACAATCAAAACTTATTGACATTGAAAGGTGTGTGAGAGCCTTTGAAGATATTCTCTACGGTTTTGAGGAGGCACTAGTTGGGGGAATGCCCATTCAGACTTCAGCGAGGATTGTTGATTTCAACCCATGTGGGAAGCGTGGTCGCCCCACTCCCAGAACATCTCGCAAAAGATCTAAGATATGGGATTGTGATTTTTCCAGAGTAAGAGTAAGATGGATAGAAATATGCCTACTTTAGAAGTCCGGTCATGGACTCAACTAACTCCATTGCGGAGCTGATTGAATAAATCAGTGATGCCACCAGCATCCTATTCTGGAATCAATGGGCGAAGTCCTTTGACTTCGCTGAGATAGACCATGCTTGTTTGGTAAGATTCGGGAACCTAATTGCACAATAAATCAAAAGGTTTCCTATAATCTTAGAGTCCTTACAATCAAAGGAATGGTGTGTGCCGAAAGTAATCACATTCCTGAGAGGATGCAATATCTACTTCCTAGTTTTCCTCTAGGATTATCCTAGTTTAATAAGGATTCTATTATCCTCAACTGGTATAAATACATCGTTCTAAGGTTCGTGTTTGGTAACGCAGTCTCTGCATACTTATTCTTTTGCCCACTGCTTGGGTCTTAATATTGCTTACTAACTTGATCGTTGGAGAGCCTTTAACCAATACACACCCATCCGGTCTTTGGCTCTCACAACGATGGCAAATTTGGTTCCAACAATTGGTGCTCTCGTTGAAAGTTAAACTCAAGATTCTCCTAACCAGATCACTCTACCACAACCACAAATGTTGAAGAAAGCTTTGTCAACACTAGCGTCAACTAGGCATCTAACGATGGTCCGACCTTAAATGTCTCTGTTGCACAAGTCGATGGTAACGCTACCCCGATGCCACCACTACTCAAGGAGCAAGCAATCAAACTCCTAAGGCAACAACCACCCTAAAAGAGTGGTAAGGATTGTTGTGAAAGGCCCTCTCCTGCCATGGAACATGTATGACATACTTAACTAAAGATCAACTCTATTATGGAGCAAACATATGCTGCCTCCTGCATGGAGAACCAGGCGAACTTTGTGGATGTGGAGAAAATGATGAAGGCTTTGCAAAACTCCAGCGTGACTACCCTAAAATCTCAGATCCCTATCTTTGGCTATGGCAATATAAGCACCATAACCCCAAGTGGACAACCCATCGAGCTAACTTCTACTCGAACCCTAACAGATGTCTTTGATACAAGTACGAGCTTGCCTCATGATGGTCAAATCGTCCGCCGTGTTGGCACGGCCAAGATGCAAGCTTTACAGAATCAAAGACCCTCAAGTGATACCAGGGCTCACCTAATGCAGCCTTGACAATTGACTTTCGAAGAGCTCAAGAGACGCCGAATCACTAATCATGGAATAGTCGTAGATGATCTAAGGGATACTTAGCCGCATATACCTGAAAAGGTTGTCATGAAAATCAGAAGCCCACTCACTTCAACAATCGAGTATGCTCCTCCACCATACCAGTTCTCTTAGCCCATATTCAAATATTTCATAAATGACTTTGGACTACCATATCATGCATTACAAGAATGCCATGACGATGTATAGTAACAACGATGGGTAGATATATGATGAGTAGATTTTATATTATATATTTTACCCTAATCTTAGTATATTTTAGTTAATATATTGGAAGAATTTTGATACTTTGAATTATATTTTCAATATAGGACTTTCGACTTCCTCTGGAGCAAAACAGGACCAAATGGACGAATTTTGGAGTAATTCCAGTTGGAGGACGTTCGTGAGTCACTTAGCTTAATCGTATCAAAATTTGGGATTTTTCCACCAAGCGGTTATTTTCTGGCGATGAAATAAAGAAGCAGTGCGCAGTGCTGGAAAATGACGTTTTTGGGCTTAAATGACGTTTTTGGAGCCCAAGATGACCTCGGATGGGTTCGTGGCCTTCTGGAAAAGTGTTCAGAATATTCCAAACATCAAATCCAGCTATATTGGGCCAGTTTTGGAGCAGCTTATGGGCCAAAACATGGCTGTTCAGATTTTAGACGAATTTTACTATTTTCATTTAGGGTTTTTATTAATTTTAGTTGACTAGGGTTTGTGTGTGGCTTAGCAAATATATTGCTTGGCCGTCTACAGTTTGAGGACGCTTTATTTTATGCAATATTTGAGACAGAGAGAAGTGCTAGGGTTTTGAAGATTTTCTACTTGAAGGTGTTTTCAATCCTTTTCTTAAGAGATATTTCTATGATTTCAATTATAAATATGCGGAACTAATTTCTTTTGCTAGGGCGAAGCCTTGAGCCTTAGCATGAATATGTGATTTTTATTTAATTGCTTATGATGATTGCATGCATATTTTGAATTGTTAATCACCGGGATAAAAACTATCTAATTGTCTTAATGTCTGATCACCATTAGGATCTTTAGAAAAGTAATTTGATGCAATTTTGGTCGGAAGGTTCCCTGAAATTGACGCTGGCTTCTTATGATTAATAATTGTAATTTCTCTTAGGATGAATATCACGTCTTAAGGATTGCATGGTTTTTCAAAGGATTTTCATAAAGCATAATGAGTCTTTCATGTTCAGATTTGATCCGAACGTCCGGACGGGTTGCATGTTAGATATACGTTCTATGTTGGAGGTTCCAAGTAGAATATGAATTAGGAAAATCTAACCTTCAAAGTAGCATGTATGGATCATAAGTAATGGGTAAAAATTCATAGGATTGCTAGGTGATGGTGGAACCCTAGTGCTTTCTTAATTTGATTTTCTCATAACTGTTTTCTTCTCTCTAGTCCTAATATTGCAGATTGTTTATTTTAATTCATTAAATTCGTTTTTATTTTAATTAGGTTATAAAATCAATCACTTCAATTTCTATTTTACAATAATTAAATGGAATCTGATTAGTTCGAATTATTTAATAATCCCTGTGGAGATGACCTTACGAAATCCGTTTATACTACAATACCTTGTGATTCTTGCAAGTAAAATAGGAGATTTAAGCCCGTTCACATGAGTAGTAAAAATCCTTATCAATATACAAGATGTTCCCCTCCACCTTGAAGAGACCAGCCATGAGATGGTTCTCGGAGTTACTGGCATGGCCGATCGAAACGTGGTGTGGAATCTAGAAGATTATCAATTTACATGAGAGAGAAGGGATTTGCATGGTTGCATGACATTCTTTACTGGATATTCTAGGCTTTCCTAAAGTGATAGTAAAATTTCTAATGGCTGGGATGTTTGATGCAAAGCTATGGAAATTACTAAGGTTGCATGGATGGTGATGCTTAGGGCTTGGAGTATGCTTCTGGGCTTCTTCCCGGGTGGTTCTCTCTTACTACGTTTTCTCTATTTCTCCTCAGTGTTCTTCCAATCCCCCCTCTGTAATGGCGTCTCCCTCCTTATATAAGTGAAGGGTTCTTCTCTAAGTTTCAAAGGAATCTCTCTTTGTGGATTAGTCTTCCCTTCCTTTCTCCATAGTTATCTTATTATTCCCCTTTTGGTGTAAACTAGCTACACTGTTGAGACCTGCAGATTCCCCTTCCCGAGACACGGCTTTCCCAGGGCGACCTTCTACATGCTCTAAATCTAGTAGCGTGACACCAAATAGAATTTGGAAGGTTGAAGGTTGTTGCTTAGTAATTTAATTCAAAGATGGTTCATGTTCTCATTAAGTTTATGCTTAGTAACCTCTTCATGGAAGGTAGAAAGTTGTTCCATGCCTAACTATTTAAAACCACTACCCATGTATGAAAATCATTCAGAAATTAAAAATTACTTTTAAACTTGGTTTAGTGAAAAGTGTTTTTCTTCCTATCCGTAAACTTTTATCTCTTTGGTGGATTCCTTAGAGTGGCGAGTTGTTTATCTTTGAGTACTCACTTGTGGTTTCTCTTTGATCTCCGTTATCCGGTGTCAAATTGGTTATCAGAGCTCTATTCGATCATGGTTGGGAAGCGTAGGGGTCGTGGAGGCCGATAAGCTCGCCAGGACTCACCACATATGCGTGAAATTGAGATGGACAACCTAAGGAGACAAGTGCAGCAGCTTTAGCAGCGTCTTGAGCGCTATGAACCTCTAGAACATGATGATCCCCGTCATGAAACAGAGAATGATGAGGAGGAGAATCCTTTTATAGGTGACCAATTTCTAAATCTTAATCTTCCTCCAAAGTTTGATCTTTGTCCAAGTGGTTCTTGTGAAATTTGTTGTGTTATATGTCGTTATAATTTTGTGTATAATGATGGTGATGATGAGGGTACAATTGATGTGGTTGATCAAAAAGTTTTTCAGTCTTTGTCAAATTTTTATTACAATGGTGATGAAGATGTGATTACAATGGTTGAAGAGTTCCAAGAACAACTACATAATGAGGCAAAAGTTGTTGACATCCATAGAATTCATGACACTTTTTGGGAAGATTTCATTGTTCGAGATATGAGAAGGAAACCCTTGGATAGAGGTTTTCAAAATGATTTGAATTATTTCTTCTCAAAAGTTATGAGTATGAAGTAATTCGGAAGCACTATCCCAATGTGATTGTTTTTAAGAGGAAACAATTGGTTCATGCATGGTTTATGAGAATATGGAAAATCAAAATTAATTTGGACTGTTTTGCTACTAGGAATTTTTCAAGGTCTTCAAATTTATTGGTGCTAAATTGGCTATTATGGAAAATGTTAGTTGGATATCCGAAAGATTGAGGAAGACCAAACAAAACTCAAGGACGAGTTATCGCGCAGCAAAAGCGTATGACACTGAATAGAATTTGGAAGGTTAAAGGTTGTTGCTTAGTAATTCAATTCAAAGATGGTTCATGTTCTCATTAAGTTAGGTTCATGTTGTCATTAAGTTTATGCTTAGTAACCTCTTCATGGAAGGTAGAAAGTTGTTCCATGCCTAGCTATTTAAAACCACTACTCATGTATGAAAATCATTCAGAAATTAAGAATTACTTTTAAACTTGGTTTAGTGAAGAGTGTTTTTCTTCCTATCTGTAAACTCTTATCTCTTTGGTGGATTCCTTAGAGTGGCGAGTTATTTATCTTTGAGTACTCACTTGTGGTTTCTCTTTGATCTTCGTTATCTGGTGTCATAGTGCACTTCATGGCTTTTGCGTGTTGGTTGTCTATGCATGCTGGGATGGGAAAGTTAGCATTAAATGCCTGACTTTCTCGGCTTAACATACATTTGATACTAAAGGGGTTGGCTTGCTAGGGAAAGGGATAAACTACACTAGTTCTTTCTCAAATTTGCCAAAACCAAAACTGAACCGAAACTTCGGTTTGGTTCGATTTTCTTTCAGTTTTTTTCGGTTCGTTTTTTTTTTTTTTTTGGCTTCTGTTCGGTTCAATTTCGGTTTATTTTTTATTTTTATTTTTTATGTTATAAACTTGATCTTTTTTTAATATGGAATTTAGAAAATAGGCTTGAATTGGTAGACTGATAATAAGAAAATGGGAAAAGTGAGAAGGTAGTTGTACATATACAAGATTGTATAAACCAATCTTATTCTATCACTAACCTCAATTGCAAAGACATATGATCACCGTATCTATTTCAAAAGCAAACAAATAGCGAAGCTCTTCCAAGTTCCAAAGCCTAGCAAAACTTTTTCTATAACTAATGTAATATCCTCACTAATTGAATCAAGTATGCTCTTTGAAAAAGCCCTAGGCTTAGTTTCAAATATGGCAACAAATTTTCACAAAAGAAACATCATGGGCATACATTCATAAAGTGTAACGGGATTCGGTTTGGTTTGGTTCGGTTCAGTTTTTGAACCTCCAAAATCGAAACCAAACCAATAAGGTTCAATTCAGTTCGGTTTGGTATTTCCTTTTTCGGTTCAATTTTTTTTGGTTTTTTTATTTTTCGGTGTTGGTTCGATGTTCGGTCCGGTTTTTTTTTTTTGGTTTTCAGTTTGTTGAACCACCTCTACAAGGAGCTGCATGTGATTTATTATGCTAGTCGAACTCTCAATGATGCACAATTGAATTATGCCACTACTAAGAAAGAGCTTCTAACCGTTGTCTTTGCTTCAGACAAATTCCGTTCTTATCTCACTGGTTATAAGGTAATTGTCTACATCGATCATTCAACTTTGAAGTATTTATTATCCAAAAAAGATGCAAAGCCTCGGTTGATTCGATGGGTGTTGTTGCTACAAGAGTTTGATTTAGAGATACGGGATAAAAAAAAGGGGGTCTAAAAATGTGGTGGCAGATCATCTTTCTCGAATTGTACATCATGAAGGTGACAATGAGTAGGTCCTTATTTCCAAAACATTCCCTGATGAGTAGTTCTTTACCGTTAAATCTTCAGTCACTCATTGGTATGCATATTATGTCAATTATTTAGTTTAGTGATATCATGCCTCCTAGTTTGACTTGGCAATAGAAGAAAAGATTCATTTCTTTAGTCAGACATTACTATTGGGATGAGCCATATTTGTGGAAGCATTGTCTAGACCAATATAAAAGACTATGTGTGCCTGACGATGAGATGGAGGAAATCTTGCGACATTGCCATTCTCTAGCATGTGGTGGTCATTTTGGTGCTACAAAGACTGCTGCCAAGGTACTACAATCTGGTAATGTCTCAAGTAGACATCAATGCTATTGAATAATATTCTAGAAGTTGAACTTTTTGATGTATAAGGTATTGACTTCATGGGACTATTTCCATCATCTTATGGCGACCAATACATCTTGGTAGTTGTGGATTATGTTTCTAAATGGATAGAAACAATCGCTTTCCCACTAATGGCACCAAGGTTGTTGTTCAGTTTATTCGGAAGCATATTTTCACTCGCTTTGCCACCCTGCGTGCCATTATTAGTGATGGAGGCAAGCACTTTTGTAATCGTCACTTTAATGCTCCCTTGGTGAAATTGGAATCACGCATAACGTTGCTACACCTTATCATGCACAAACTAGTGAGCAGGTTGAGATTTCTAATTGAGAGATCAAGTGGATTTTGGAGAAGACTGTGGGACTTTCACGCAAAGATTAGGTTGCAAAGTTAGATGATGTGTTGTGGGCATATCGGACTGCATACAAGGCTCCCAATTGGCATGTCTCCGTACCGATTGGAATTTGGGAAAATGTGTCATCTACCTATGGAATTGGAGCATAAATCTTATTGGGTAATGAAGAAGCTTAATTTTGAGATAGAGTAGTGGGAGAAAAGACAGCTTTTTAATTGAATGAGATGGAAGAATTTCGGAATGATGCATATGAAAATACTAAGATCTACAAGGAATGTACAAAAAAGTGGCATGATCAACACATTCTTCATCATGAATTCTATATTGGTGAACAAGTTCTTTTGTTTAAGGGGTGTGCTATCCACACACCCCTTTTTACTTCTCACACACCCTTTGTTAATTTCTGTCTGTTGATCTTCTTCAATTCATCTGATCTGACGGCCAAAAAGGGTGTGTGAGAAGTAAAAAGGGTGTGTGGATATCACACCCCTTGTTTAATTCTCGGTTGAAACTCTTCCCTGAGAAGTTGTGAACATGATGGTCTGGTCCTTTTATAGTTGTTCAAGTTTTCCCTTACGAAATGGTTGAAATTTGTGACTATGCAACGGATACTACATTCAAAGTTAAAGGACAACAATTGAAGCCATATCTTTCTGCCAATTTTGAGCGACCAAAGAATATTGTAACCCTTGCTTCTCCCGAGTGATTGCAATGCCAAGTCCATTCATTATTTTTCTTGTTTATTATTTTTGCATTTTCTTCCTTTCTTGCCCATACTACTCATTGCATCTTTTTGTTATGGTTTTACTTTGAGGACAATGTTTAGTTTAGCATTGGGTGAAGAGTAGATTTTTAATAGTTGTTTTTTTTTTGTTAGTTGTTAGGTTGAGTTATTTGAATTGCTATTTTTTAAGGTCAAAAGCTAAGGTTTTTTATGTTCCAAGTTTAATAATATCAATTTCTTCACCCATATGATGATTTGAACATGTTTAGCTTGTCATTTCAAATGTGTTTGGAGTGGTATTGCTGTTATAAATTTGTAATAGTTTCGACTTTTCAATATCCGATCGTATTTATGTCGTTTAATTTCCTAAGATCCCTGAGCTTCCTCAGGGGCTATGCTTATGTCTTTTTCAGCGGTTTGCCTCCCAATGTAATGGACTAATTCAGAAATTATCAAACAACCTTTCGGTTTTTATCCCAATCCTTGATAGATTCTAGAAAACCTTTGTTTTAGTGTCTTACGTTTGTAATCCTTCACGGTTGTGCTGCATCATAAACCATTGGATGATAGCTTCATCAATACTATCAAGTTATTAGAATGAAAAGCAATCAATTAGAATGAGAAAGCGTTGCAAGTGGCTGGAAAGCAATATTTAGAATGAGAAAGCGTCACAAGTGGCTATTTACCAGTGGTGGAAAGGTGTTATGCTCTTGTATGATGACGTGGTTCAAACTCAGTTGGTGGCTAATCTAACATTTAACTTACTAATGCTATTGCTCGAATAAAGAAAAGAATGAGAATGCATCAAATTAGAATGCTAAATTCTAATTTAACTAGCAAATACATGTGCCTAAAACGAATTAATGAAGAAAATATACGATACCTTGTGCCCTTGTGCATGAGGAGTGTAGTCTGAACCCAATAACTACACTCTTCATATTATCTATATACTAAAACCCGGTAGAAAGGCACTGTTCACGAGCAGTGTAATGGCTAAAATGCCCTTTGATATCTTCTTTGCTGCCCTTTGTCTTGCCCGTTTGGTACAGCGAGATGACGCTTTTACCCATCTTGGCCACGCGTCGGTCATCGTCATACCAGCTTGCACCTTCTCGACTTTTCCTTTGGTTTCCATTTCTCCCTCGCAAATCTGGGCTTCTGGGCTTCAGTCTACATTCAACTCGCTCTCTCTCGCTCTCCATCTTCATAGAAAACCTGATTCCTCAACGCTTTCTCAAAACCTGCAAGTTTGGTTTCGACCATTCTATCCCAACTCACAATCTTCGGCGCAAAACCTTGAAAATATTGGCCTGTGTTTCCGTCTCCATCCCCTGAGTTGGGATCCGTCTCTAAGAGCTTTCTGCGTCCATCCTTCCGAAGGTATGGCCTTCACCAATCCCATGTTTTAGTTTGTTTCTTATTTATTTATTTATTTTTTTAGTTTTGGATTTGTAATTTTTTGTTTCGTATCGTACCTGAGAATATGTGATCTCAGCTACGGCCTTCACCGTATCGCTCCGTCAGCCTCCACATTCTCCGACTCCGGTTCCAAAATGCGTATTAAAAGGTGGGTTATCTCTGTTTATGCCAATTTTCATGACCCATAAAGCATTAACCGAATTGGGTTTTGTTTGTTTGGTAACATGGATTGCTCAGGTTAGGTTGGAGAGAATGGAGGTAGAAATACAATTGGGAAAGATAAAGAAAGATTTTATGTTTGAAGGTAGAAAGTTTTTTAATTTTTCGTGGAATTGATGTTCTGTTTTCGAATGAGTTTATTATGGTTTGCTTGGACAAGTACCAAGAGAGTTTGGGATTGAAAAGTTGAGAGAGGCCACAGATGGGTTTAGAGAAAATAGCTTGATTGAAGGGTCTGTTTATAAAGGTTTCATGAATGGAGATTTCTTTGCTATCCAGAAGATGAAGTGGAACGCGTGTGAGGTGCTCAAGATCCTACATAAGGTATTTTCACCTAATTCTTCTGTTTTTTTTTTCTTTGTTTTTGTTTCTTAATTTTTGGGTATTTGGTTTTTGAAATTTTAGGAAATTGATTCCTTTTCATGTTAAATGTTTAACATTCGTCTGGTGATGATGATTTGAGGCTGTACGAACTAGAATGACTGTGGGTAGATCCACTCCTCATGTATTGACGAATATTATGTATCTTATTGAATGATTTTGTCTTATGGCTTTGCATGTGCATCATTTTCCATACAACGTCACCTAGAAAGTTTGTTGCTGTATCATGTCAATATTTTACAATGGTTGCTTATTTATTTGGAAAATGATGAACATGAATCACTTTTCCCAAAGTGGTTCGTGCTGGTTCCATTTTACCAATTTGAAATTATGTGGAATTTGATATATAGGACGGCAATAAGGCCGGCGATGCTGTATGGCACAGAATGTTGGGTGGTGAAACATCAACACGTACACAAAATGGGTGTAGCGGAGATGAGGATGCTTCGTTGGATGTGTGGGCACACGAGAAAGGATAAGATTAGGAATGAGGATATCCGGGGTAAAGTAGGAGTAGCCGAAATTGAAGGAAAGATGAGAGAAAATCGGTTACGGTGGTTTGGACATGTGCAAAGAAGGCCTACTGACGCTCCGATTAGAAGATGCGACTATGGGACAGAGGTTCAGGGCCGAAGGGGTAGAGGAAGACCTAGGAAAACTTTGGAAGAGACTCTAAGAAAAGACTTAGAGTACTTGGATCTAACGAAGGACATGACACAGGATCGAGCACAATGGCGTTCTAAGATTCATATAGCCGATCCCACTCAGTGACTTGGATTTTCCAAGTCTCCAACCAAGAAGTTTTCCTCACTCGGGAAATTAAGGGAACACTACCCCAACCTACATGCTCCACTCAGAAAGCTTCAACATACAAGCTTCAACAAAAGAAAATTCAAAGAACTTAGCGAAGAAGGCTTTGGTGTATTTAACACAATACGTTGAAATGAAGGAAAGCTTATTTATTGATATCCCCGATAAGCTACAAATATGTACATATACATGAGTCAAAATAAACACACAAGAGGGAGCCTTCACAAAGGTTGCTTAGGAGAAGTCTCAGCAGTCGGTAGAGCCCCAGAAAGAGAAGGCACCGGAGGGGGATCATTTGGAGCCTCAGTACTGGACAGAACCCTAGGAGGAGGAGGCATCAGAGGTTGATCATTTGGAGCTTCATTACGCGGTACAGTTCCAGAAGACGAAGGCAATAAATGCCTTTGGAACAAACCCACAAATCTCTGATGATCAAGTAAAACCTGACCATCAGTTTCCTTCATCTGGTCAAGCTTCCTCTTCATGTTTGTAGCATAGTCATGTGCGAGCCGGTGCAACTGTTTATTCTCATGCTTGAGCCCTCTAATCTCCTGTTTGAGACTCATCACTTCAGCCGCCAATGATTCAACTTGGCGGGTTCGAGCAAATAGGCGTTGGGCCATATTAGACACAGAACCTGCACACTGAACACTGAGAGCCAGCGAATCCTTAACAGCTAACTCATCAGACCGTTTGGAAAGTAGTCTGTTATCTTTGGGAGTGAGAAGGTTCCTGGCCACCACCGCAGCGGTCATATCATTCTTCATCACGGAATCCCCAACGGTAAGAGGACCAGTTTGGGGAGACGAAGGATGGGCGCCATATGTTGTCTGGAGAAGGCGGGGCTGCCTCTTCAACAAGGTTCAAGTCAAAACGACGGTCGGAGGGGCCAGACATTTTCAAAGGTGTTGAAGAGAGAAGAGGTCGGACAAATCAAGATATTAGAAGTGCAAGAATGAAGCTTCTACTGGTGGAGATTCAAGTGTGCTTTGGAACTTAATGCCAGCCTCTATAAAAATCTGCACTCGACGGAGCTTCAGAAATCAAAGAGGCGCCTGCTCAGAAATCGAAGAGGCGTTTGCTTTCTCAAAAGTTGGGCTGCTTAGAGATCACGAGGGTTGATCTCAGAAATCGAAGAGCCGTTTGCTTTCTCAAAAGTTGGGCTGCTCAAAGACCACGAAGGCCGATCTCAGAAATCGAAGAGGCGCTCGCTTTCTCAAAAGCTGGGCTCCCTAGAGACCACGAGGGCCGATCTCAGAAATCGAAGAGGCACCTACTTTTCCAGCCTTGTCAGCACCTGTCACACGCACACTCAGCTTTGCGGAAATTATGGGCATTCTGTCAAAGACTTCTGGGGAAGTAGAAAACACATGAATCTTACTGTTCAATCACCCACTTCCCACACGCAACAATAGCTCATGGGTACCACAGATAACTTTGCCAAAGTTCTCTGCCAAAGTTGAGCACGTGAAGCTTGCAGCTCCCACTACATCGCTCTGACCAAGAAGGGTAAAAGAATAGCAAAGAAACAGCACTAACAAAGTTTAGACCCATAAATTTTGAAGGTCTAGCTACCATATTATTACCCACAAGGGTAAAGGAACAGTACCACTGCTGGATAATTGGAAAGTCCATGTATGTCAACCTCTGTGCTTCGTGGCAAGGTAGACTAGCAAACATGCCCAACCTTTACTCACATTCGAGAAAACACTCCCAATAAGATTGCTTGCTCCAAAATCGAAGAGGCACCGTCCTCCGAATCTAAAGAGCCAGACTCCTAACATGACTACTTTCTTAAAAATCGAAGAGCGGGTAAAGGAACAGTACCATTGCTGGATAATTGGAAAGTCCCTGTGTGTCAACCTCTGTGCTTCGTGGCAAGGTAGACTAGCAAACATGCCCAACCTTTACTCACATTCGAGAAAACACTCCCAACAAGATTGCTTGCTCCAAAATCGAAGAGGCACCACCCTCCGAATCTCAAGAGCCACTCTCCCAACATGATTACTTTCTCAAAAATCGAAGAGACACTGCTCCCCGAATCTCGAGAGCCAGACCCCCAGCATGATTGCTTTCTCAAAAATCGGTGAGGCACCGTTCTCCGAATCAATCGAAGAGGCGCTCGCTTTCTCAAAAGCTGGGCTGCTCAGAGACCACGAGGGCCGATCTCAGAAATCGAAGAGGCACCTACTTTCTAGCCTTGTCAGCACCTGTCACACGCACACTCAGCTTTGCAGAAATTATGGGCATTTTGTCGAAGACTTCTGGTGAAGTAGAAAGCACATGAATCTTACTGTTCAATCACCCACTTCCCACACGCAACAATAACTCATGGGTACCACAGATCACTTTGCCAAAGTTCTCTGCCAAAGTTGAGCACGTGAAGCTTGCAGCTCCCACTACATCGCTCTGACCAAGAAAGGTAAAAGAATAGCAAAGAAACAGCACTAACAAAGTTTAGACACATAAATTTTGAAGGTCTAGCTACCATATTATTACCCACAAGGGTAAAGGAACAGTACCACTGCTGGATAATTGGAAAGTCCCTGTGTGTCAACCTTTGTGCTTCGTGGCAAGGTAGACTAGCAAACATGCCCAACCTTTACTCACATTCGAGAAAACAGTCCCAACAAGATTGCTTGCTCCAAAATCGAAGAGGCACCGTCTTCCGAATCTCGAGAGCCAGACTCCCAACATGACTACTTTCTCAAAATCGAAGAGAGGGTAAAGGAACAGTACCATTGCTGGATAATTGGAAAGTCCCTGTGTGTCAACCTTTGTGCTTCGTGGCAAGGTAGACTAGCAAACATGTCCAACCTTTACTCACATTCGAGACAACACTCCCAACAAGATTGCTTGCTCCAAAATCGAAGAGGCACCGCCTTCCGAATCTCGAGAGCCAGACTCCCAACATGATTACTTCCTCAAAAATCGAAGAGAGACACTGCTCTCCGAATCTCGAGAGTCAGACCCCCAGCATGATTGCTTTCTCAAAAATCGAAGAGGCATCGTTCTCCGAATCTCGAGAGCCAGATACCACAGACCACTTTTTCAAAGTGCTCTGACAGAGTTAAAACATGTGAAACTGGCAGCTCCCACTACCGTGCTATGACCAAGCAGGGTAAAGGAATAGCATTACTACTTGTTGTTAGGGAGACTCCTATATATGTCGACCTCCATCCCCAACGGACAGGCAGACCTGCAAAAATGCTCAACCCTTCATCATATCTGAGAGGGCACTCCCAACAAAGCCTTTCGAAATATTCAGCTTTCTTTCCCCCCGATAATACCTCTGCAAACAAGCTATACTAGAGCAAGAATATCTCATATCATCAGGGTTAAAAGCAAGAGTATCTCATATCATGCTTTTTCCCTGTTTTTTCTTTGGCCTTGTTTTTACCTGCAAGACAAGGAGAAAGAGAGCAATCAGTCAGTACTTGGAATCAAGCTTCCAGCCAGGAATTGACTGCCTGGAACCCCTTACCTGATTACTTACCTGGCATTGCTCTCGAGTACTCATCTTCATCATCTTATGTTTCCAGGGAAGATTCCGCATCTGCTTGAGGAACAGATAGGGCAAGTGCGAAGGATACAAGGAAGCATGTGGAGACAAGCGTAACAGCACACGTGCCGATACATCCATTACTTTGTCAAAAGCAAAAGTATCCCATATCAGCAGGGTGGAACGTACTCTAGATTTGATGGACTTGTTTTGACCCTCAAATTCTTCAGTCGGCCTTATACTCTGGAGGAAACCAGAAAACCCTCCAGCTCAGTTCAAGAATAAGCCTGTGGAAAGTTACTTCTTCAAAAGCAAAAGTATCTCATATCATCTCTTCTCATTTTTCTTCTCTTTATCCTTCATGCTGCTGCAAGATGGGGAGAAGGTGAACAATCAGTCGGAGCTCTGATTGCTTACCTTGTCTGTCACCTCTTTCAGCAGACCCCCTAGCTCGGCGACTTGGGGGACTCCTACTACATGGTTTGTATCGCGCTTGACCAAGCCTGAAACTACAAGTAAGCTTCAAGTGAAATTGATACATTACCTTGTGCATCTCCACCAGTTAAAGATACCACCCCTGGATGGAGGAAGAGTACTTCCAGAGAAGATGCCACATCTACCTATGAGACAGATAAGGCAAGTCAAGACGACACCACACTCCGATACTTAGAAGTTTCGTGATTACGAGATCATTATCCCACAATATTTCCTAATGTCATTTGTACTAAATCATTCACTCGTACTCACTAAAGGAGAGCTTGAACCTATGTACTTGTGTAAACCCTTCACAATTAATGAGAACTCTTCTATTCCGTGGGCGTAGCCAATCTGGGTGAACCACGTACATCTTGTGTTTGCTTTCCTATCTCTATCCATTTATATACTTATCCACACTAATGACCGGAGCAATCTAGCGAAGATCACAAAAAAGCGACCGTTTTCGTTACCTAGGATCTATCTTGCAAGAGAACGGAGAATTAGATGGAGATCTCAACCATAGAATACGAGCTGGATGGAAAGAGTGCATCCGGCGTGTTGTGTGACCGTCGTAGGCCACTGAAGCTCAAGGGAAAATTTTATAGGACGGCAATAAGGCCAGCGATGTTGTATGGCAGAGAATGTTGGGTGGTGAAGCATCAACACGTACACAAAATGGGTGTAGCGGAGATGAGGATGCTTCGTGGGATGTGTGGGCACACGAGAAAGGATAAGATTGGGAATGAGGATATCCGAGGTAAAGTAGGAGTAGCCGAAATTGTAGGAAAGATGAGAGAAAATCGGCTCTGGTGATTTGGACATGTGCAAAGAAGGCCGACTGACGCTCCGGTTCGAAGATGTGACTACGGGACAGAGGTTCAGGGCCGAAGGGGTAGAGGAAGACTTAGGAAAACTTTGGAAGAGACTCTAAGAAAAGACTTAGAGTACTTGGATCTAACGGAGGGCATGACACAAAACCGAGCGCAATGGCGTTCTAGGATTCATATAGCCGACCCCACTTAGTGGGAAAAGGCTTTGTTGTTGTTGTTGTTGTTGTTGTATATATTTCAGTTTTTTAATTTCTGTGTATATAATTTGCAGTGAAGCAGAACGAGTCAATCCATCAGATGTGATCCTAGGTACCAAAGGCAGAGGCTTCATTCAAAGGTATTCCTACTCTCTCTCTCTCTTACACACACAATTCTTTTACTCACTTTATTACTGGGATTTCGTCAGTGTACTACAAGGAAGTGTGAGCGAGTATTGCATATGCAACTATAAATCAGCTCTGGTTGTAATCGTTCCAGGGAATGGTATAATTTTCCATCTTATATGTGAATGGAACCAGCTTAAGGTCGAAGTAAGCATGTTTGATGGCTCCGTTTGACAAATATGCCTACTAACTGTTTGATAAAATGACTGATACTATGGTCCTTAAAATGATTGTTAAGCATATAGTTTTCAGTGATCGACAATCCCTTTATATGCATTGTATTTGGATACCAGTTTCACTTGGTTGGAGGTCTTGAAAGACTCCATTTAATGAATCCAAAAATGTGTAATTCCTTTGGGGTGCGTTTGATAACCATTTGGTTTTCATTTTTCAGTTTTTGGTTAGATTTATTTCTGGACATGTCCAATATGTTTACTTTAGTATATAAAGATCTATATATTACAATTTAGTATAAATTTATGTATTATCTTCTTCTTAGGTTCTTCAAGCATTTAACTTCTTGGAATATCATTTTTGGAAAATGCTGGAGTAGTATATTTTATAGTGTGGCCTTTGTTTTCATTGAAGTGAGACATACAGGAGGGAACTGGTGGACCTCTGAAGGGAAACGTGGTGGGAATTCCTTAATACACTCTTCTCTGTCTCAGAAGCTGTGGTTTATATACAGGTATTGGTGTTGTCTTAGTATATCACTGTAAACAACTGACTCATTTTGTTGCTATTATTTTTCAGATTTTACTCATGTAGATACTGACTCTTCATTCTTTCAGACAGTTGACAGATTGGATGATGGAACCATAAGAGCAAAACTTAATCCACTTGATTATAAAAGGGCTCCATCAGGCAATATGCTCTGCGTCAAATTTACAGAGCTTTTCCATTGATTTTTTTCTTGCTGCTTTTTAACTCTTGACATGATTTCAGGATGTTGGAAGAGCCTTCTTCCAGGCACATGTTGAGAGTCACTAAAGGTTAATAGATTGCTATATTTATTATTTGTGTTCTCTTCTTTCTTTTTATTAATGGGTTTTGAATTTTGATTGTGATCCAATCCACGTATTGTTACGTAAATTCAAGCTTAATGAGATTATATGCTTTGGTTGCACCTTTTAATGGCTGACAATTGTTTTGGTTTTACAATTGCACCCTTAAGTTTGTAGATTACAATTGTTTTCATTTTACAGTAGGCTTTTATCTTCTATACTCTTGACCAGAAATATCAGATTGTATATATATCTATTAAATTTATCAAGTTCATATTTTAATTTCACATTTGTTGGTTTCATTGCAGTAGCTCTATGGGTGATACGATTACAAAGGTACTATGGGAATCTCATGCACACTATTACGGTTGGACTTTCTCACTCTCTCACACCCCTTTTTCTTGAATGTTGATCAGGTTTTAAGTATCGTTACCTAATCATTCCATTTTGGTCATTTTCTCAATCAATTTTTTTTACTGGAAAATTCAGTTTATATTGATCAATAAACAAAAACCAGTTAATGTCAGTGTGGTTGTTTAATATATAGAAAAATCTATTATTTGTAGTATTATTTATTAATTCTAAGACAGTTATCTTCAAGTATCAGTTGTTCTTCATTAACTATAGTACAACAAGGACTGGTTAATTGATATAAAAACGATTTTGTGGGTCATAGAATCTCATGTTTTTAGTCTCTGTGCTTCATTTGAACCTACTTCATTGCTCTTATTTGAAAAGTGGGGCATATCTTTCTCACTTGAATATTATGCATGCACTTATGCAGTTAGCAATTTTAAAGGATTTTGATAAGCTGCATATACGGTTGTTTATAAGCTACATGTACGGTTGTTTATAAGCTACATGTACGGTTGTTCATAAGTTACATGTACAGTTGTTTTGTTTTGCACCATATAGATAACTTAATTGAAATATAGTCTTCCGCATGTGCTCACCCGATTTGTGTACATGCAAAGGCTATAGATTTTGCTATAGTTGGAAATTTGACAGCATGGAATGTTTTGTGCGTAGTTTAGAATTTAGTTTGAGAGGTGGTGGTGGAACATGGAATGTTTCTTCATTGTATAATGCTTTATGTATTCTTTGTATTGATACGATTAAATTGCTCTCTAAATCAGTTTTGATAAATGCTTGCCATACGCTCGAAATGCTTGGAGAAAAAAAAAATGAGAGTACTACACAAGGAGGCTGCTGCGAAGGGGTAACAATAGCTACCTAGAGCTACTGTATCTTTGTTATTTCAACAATTTTCATAAACTTTGGTTATTAAAACAATGAAGTTTCATAAACTTTCATACAATTTTCAATCCCGCAGCAACGCGCGGGGATAAATTTCTAGTATGGTCTAAAAGCCAAATTTTAAGAGTAGATTTTGAGTAGGGAAAGTCAGGTCACTGAGGGGCATGAGCGTATTTTATTTATTGTAAGTGAGCCTGTCAATTGAGCCTTTTCTTCTAATTGATTTCCATCACATGTAAGTTTTTGCCACACACGGGCATATCCGCCTCTGTAGGCCTATGAAGGCTCCGTCTATTGAACTCGGCTAGAAGAAGTAAAGAATATCGAGGAGGACCATAAGATGGTCTAAAACATGGGAAAGGCCAAGTATGTGGCCGAGGAAGATGAGCCTCAACTTGTTGAAGTATCCATTGTAAGCTTTGTTAGAGCTGCTCACTTGTTTAATACATGCTTAAGAGATTGAGATCATAAGAAATTTGGATTGACTATACTTGTAAGCTATTAAGGAATGTATGTGGACTGATATATAGCTAAAGTAATTCTGCTATGAGTAGATATATCTATATTGATAAATAATATGGTTTCGTGGTGATAAGGGTTATCAGTTTGATAGTTTGATAAGGATTACATGATGGGAAGTATCCTTATCAAACACCACCATTTAGGATATAATAGGGTCCCCTGCTCTCACACTAATTACACACAAAAGATATCAAGCCCCATTGGTTGTAGCAGTGCATTCGGTCTGTGTTGAGAGTATAGTTCATTGCAGCAATGGCGTCACAAGGTTAGTGGTTAATTTGGTATCGTGATTTACTTGTTCTGCATATATTGATCTTACATTTGGTATTAGAGCTTTCACATAGCAATTAACCCTAAAGAGGAAAGCATAAAGAATTGTTTTTTTTTTTTTTTTTTTTTTTAACTTTTAGGTTAAAATCTAATTACGTATTATACGGGGAGAACATGTGTATGCATATGATAGCTAAAGCTATCTGTGCAATATATATGATTGTCATTAAGAATACGAAATTAGTATTGGCACTGGGATTGAAGCATCATCACTGATCATCTAAAGATGTTCAATAGCCTATGTTTTGATCTCAAGTGGCATGGCACTCTACAATCCAAGGTATGAACACAGTTACTTCTTGCAATCCATAAAGGATTGTAACAATGACTACAGAAAAAACGTATGTTGGCTGTGAAGGTGCTATGATTAAAGAAAAACCTTCATATAACTCGTTAATTGATGTGAAAATTACTTGACACACAAATTAAATCCTATTGATGACAATTGTAGCAAAGATGTAAGTAGGGATCGTTCTAAACCGGGGATTAACTAGGGCTGCTAATCTACTCAAATTAAACTCTAAAACACTAAACTAGACTTAAAAACACAAGAATAGACTATAGACTCTAAACTGACCTAAGACACACAAATATGCAAAACTAAATAAAATTGACTCAATTCTAAACCTAACAAGTGATTTGGACGAAATTAAAACCTACTTTGACTTAAAAGATTAAAAGAAAACATTTTGTAACTTAACTAACTCAGAAAACACTTAAAAGACTTAAAACAGCACAATACTAACAATTAGACTCAAAACAGATTCTAGAGATGAAATTGGACGAATTTAAGACTAAACTAAGACCCAAACAATGTTTATGGACTAAACCTAACCTATATTGACTCAAAACACTCTAAAGAACCTAATTAGGACAGATTCTGACCTAATAACATAAAACAGAAAAGGGTGTTTGATTTCTGACGAAATTGAATTAAAACTAAACAGATTGCAAATCAAAGTAAACTAAAACGAAATTGAGATGAATTCAAGGGTGAAAAGATAGTTAGAGGATCATTCTCCACACATGAACATATGCAACATAAATCAATTTCCAGTATTGTTTCTTTAAACCATGAACGACAATGCCCCAAATTAATCGTGAATGCACAAATTAACTATCAGATTTCCCTAAATTCATTGAATTGGATGAATGCATGCAACAACCCAAATTATTCTTCTCAAGTTCCCTATATAAACAGCATGATAGAGATACATTCAAAGATCATTAAATTCCATGGAAATCATAAGCATTGACAAGGCAATTATAAATATGAACTGCATGATATTTTTGCCAAGAATCTACTTAACATGATTGTGACTAACAATCTCCACTACTTGTAATTATAAGTTTCTAACGATTAGGTGAAAGTCCCTTATAATTTAGCATCAGATTCAAGCATGCAAACTAAGTAGGTCTCCTTAATCAACACACAAGAATAAGTTATCAATCAAATAGATAAGTAAATCGCATTCATGTTTTACGAAACAATAACTGAAAGGAATCAATTCATATTAACATATGTCCATGGCTTCAAATTCACCACTAACTAATAAGAGTTTAGTTTCACATGTTCATATCAATTGAAAAGCAAATTGAAATAAACATCGAAACTGAAACGAGGGAAGAAAGATCTATGAAAACTCCCAAGGATGCAGATGGCTTGTGCACAAGGCCCTCCTTCATCAATGGAATGCACGACAAAGCTCTCATTCTTCTCCAAAAAGGTGCGGCAGAGATGTATATGGATGTAGGATGGTGTTTTGTGATGTAGAATGGTGATTAGGGTTGCGGCAAGGTGTTTCTGAATGGTGTGAAGGGTGGTGACGAATTTAGGCTTTAAAAACACATATATATAGGCACGACAAAGCTAGGGTTTTCACAAAATCTGATGGGAAAAGGTTAGGGTTTTGGAGATAAAAGGCTTGGCCCATCCAAGGGAGAAAAGAACTAGGGTTTGTGCAGATTTTTAGGCTTCTAGAAGTGTTAGGTGCGGCACAACCCTAGGGGAGATAGATTAGGGTTTAAACTTAGCAGATTTTAAGGCTTAGAGCCTAAGGATTCGGTTTAGGGTTTAAATCAACAAAGAAAAGGATTTTTGGCCCACTTAGTTTCTGGAAAGGATTTATAGAACCCAAATCCACAAGGAAAAGGGCCTAACAATTCAGAATCCAAGAGGGAAGAAGCTTGAGAGGTGCGGCAAGGGTTGGAACCAAGGTGAAAAAAATTAGGAAACTTCCAATCCAAGAATAGAAACTTTCAAGTGGAAACCTCCAACTTTAGAAACTTTGGCTTCCAATTCTGAACTCTTTGTTCTTCATGTTCATTTCTTCATTTCTTGCCTCCTTTGATCTTCAATTTCGTCCATCCATTTGACTCCAAGCATGTGATAACCATTTTATGCTCAAAACTGCTCCAAAAGGCTCCAAATTGCACCTTCTTGCATACTTTGTCATTTGGACCTACAAACACACGAAAATAGCTTAAAACACTATAATAACCACAAACTAACTATAAAAGTGCAAGAAAACAAGCTAACTAAGTCGCATAAATATGCTCCTATCAAATTCTCCTACACTTAGCTTTTGCTAGTCCTCAAGCAAAACAAAGCAAACAAAACAAACAAAACATAACCTAAACCTTCCAACATTTGCTTCAGGGAATTCCAATGAAACATGACACATTAAAAATCACTACGCACATAGATTTTAGTTATCCTTACCCTTAAGCGCATACTGAATCACAGTCACCACTTACTATTTCGCATTTAATCACATAAAACAACATTTTGAATGTAGTAACATGCCTTAGAGAATTCTCTCAATTCCTCACCGAATATACACTCTATTTTCACATAGAATTTCTGACTACACTCCCTATACTAGGTATATGTGAGAAGATTGATGTAAATATATAGACTAACACTCACATAAGTTATAAGCGAAGAAAGCACTTTCTGGAATTATTAATGCATGTATATATATATGATCTCACGAACGGAATGCTACTACTTAGACACGAGAACTAGGGATACCATATGCTCATACCAATCCCAAACTCCACATACTGAAATACACAACAACCAAGATTAAAGTCTAAGGGTTGTAATGGGGCTAAGGGTATTGGCTAACAAAGAAAGGTAAGGAAAACAAACGTTCTTAAAGCAAGAGTAAGCAAAGTACTGAAATTAACTTAGAATTCCCTTTAGAATTCAGAAATCAACTTTTAAACACAAGGGAAGATTCATGCAACACTTAGGGTCAAATTCAAGCTTTTTGGACCCTTTCTTCAACAACCAACACTTTAGAGCTCCTTTTCACATATTTTTTAGCTCTTCTTTATTCTTTTCACAACTTTTCTTTTTCCTTTCTATTTTCCACGAAATTTTTTTTTCTTTTTCTTTTCTACCCGTGCCTCTTATAAGACTTTGGCACCTACGCACTTTTGAAAACCTTCCCCCTCACTTGTTTTCTAGAACAATGTTGATCAAAAGGAATTCCCTCTAAGTCTTGCTCCACTATACTTTAAGAACAAGGGTGTGGATAGTCCTATTCTAGGCTAGGTAGGGATAATGTGGCTAACAAAGAAAATAGGCTAATTAAGGCTCAAAAGGGTTAAACCTACAAAAACAAATGCATGGAATGAAGGCTTTTTGGCTCTGGTGGTAACTACTAACAACTTCATCCTGTTATATGTTATGCACTCAATTTCAAGTTTTGAATGAAACGGGTATGAGTTCTAGTATTTGGAACTAAAGTGATAAAACGCATTCTTAGTAGCAACCAAGCAAAGAATAATGAGATCATGCAACGACTTTAGAAAACAACAAATCACAGATTAATAACTCTTCAAATAAAGTTTAGGCTCAAGTCTCTTAGGGTTGTAGCGTTAGTTTGAGTTCCTTCCTTCAAGCATGTTACAAAAACTTATTATTTTTTGTTTTTGTGATTACATGTGAATTCGTAAACGTTAACTACAACCAAGCATAAAACAAAGAGTATATCAAACTTCCATCCATGTTTATAACTTTCTTTAACAGTCATGCAATTAAAAATCAAATCCTCATCCTTGTGTTGGAAGGTACCCTAAGACACAAACAAACATACAAAAACAACTATTTTTGGGTTTTTCAAAACAATTTTTCAAATTTTTATGAGATTTTTGGATTTTTATGTCAAAACACACTAAAATGCACCAAAACAGCTTAAAAAGACTTAAAAACAGCAAGGAACAACTTTGGAAGTTATGGGTGATAAAATCCCACGAATTTGAAATAAAAACACTTGGTTACCCCCCACACTTAAACCAAACATTGTCCTCAATGTTTCAAATATAGACTCACATATATGCAAGCAAACAACACAACTAACAAACACGACAAACATGGCAAAGTAAAAACAAGAAAGGGTAGAGTTTAAGAACGCAAATCTGGTTATGGAGCTCGAATTCCTTCAATCCCTCGTTTGAACACATGGGTTGCCTCCCAAGAAGCGCTTGCTTTAACGTCTTCCAGCCGGACGATACCTCCATTTAAGCTTGAATAGGGCCCACGGCATGGAGGGGTATGTCCTCCACGACATGCTCATCAAATGTCGCATAGTAGGGCTTCAAACGGTGTCCATTGACCTTGAATTCATG